GTTGGACTGGGGTCACTCTTTGCTCCTATGCCTATTCTTGGATTTCTGAAAGCTAATATGAGTTGAAGAGGACCTTGCAGACTACAAACTCTCTACTTTTCCTTTCTATAACTCATAAACAAAAGAGGAGGGGGTTTGGATGATGGATTAGACCTCTTCTTCACATATCGTTCCTGTAACTAATTGCCTGTTCTTGCCTGTCTACTATTTCAACATTCTAAATTAACGTTAGTCCAGCTCCTCAGAGAGCTACCGCAGAACTGGCTTATACCAATCTTCAGTGTGGTCCATAGATACTATAATCCCCATCAGACCCACATCTAACATTGGCAATAGTGATTGAAGATTATGGAACTTGTATTGATATGTATGTTCCACATGATTATCCACATTCCTCTTATCACCACAACTGGCTCTTCTGTAAACTTCATAGATAATAGATCAATTCCCATCTACAGAGAAATCAGCTAAGCTTTCTTGAATAGTTGATCGGAATGAAGTCTGATGACTGTGTTATAAGAAAAATCCACTCTTTTGAAAAAAAAAAAACTTTTTTTTTTGCATTCTTCTGTTGTTTCTGCATTCTAAAGAAAACAAAGATATAATTCCCGCTGGCTGCAATTCAGTCTAGAAAAGTATTACATATTTGTTAACTTATATGTAAAAAGATTTATATACATATATTTTTTAGAATTTATTAGGGATTACGCAGGTAAACTTAAGAGTCTTAACAGCTGGTATTCAGACTCTCTTCCATCATTTATTATTTATAATCTACTCCACTATTGTTCACCTACTACTGCCCATTTGTTGCTAATGTGTAGATTCAGTTGATTATTCTACCTAAATGCTTTCTTTCCCTCGGGGCCAGTTGGCACCTTTCTTAGTGCCACTGGCCCCACTTTCCAATAAAAGAAAAATGATGCTTTTCCTTATAATAGCTATTCTGAGTATAATTGTCTTCCATAGCATTCTGTATACTTTTTAGCCAAATTAAACAAAAAACAAAACCCAACTAAAATTTGTAGATAGCAAGCTGCTGTTCTGGTTCAACTCAACTATTGCCTTTCCAGCTATAACTAAATAATTTTGTCCCCTAATTGCTGCTGTTGCAAGGCAGTAAAGAGTTGTTTGGGGTTGTTTTTTGTTTTTGCTTTTATTGGTGGATTATGTGTAGCAATTTCGTCTTCAGACTGAGACTTGGTTGTCTTACCAGGATACACAGCATAGTCATGTATTGCAGAATATTAGTCCAAACTATATAATCAAAATATATATGCAAATCTCCCAGGATGATGTGCCAACGATTAAAATAATCAGATAGGTTTTCACCCAATAGTCCACTCAGTAGCACAGTCAAAATCTTGAATAATAAACTACCTTTTGCAAATCTCTTCCATTCCTTGACTCACATCAAACAGTATTTACTAGACAGGAGTACTGATAAAACAAGATGCAATATAACATAAGAAATGTGTTAAAGGTTAAAGCCCTTGTGAAAGAAAGGCTTCTCACAGAAAACTATTTCAGAGTACTGACTTTTCTCCTCCCCCATCTTTTCCCAGTCTACGTGTGCATAATCTTTTCCATCAAATAAACCTTTTGAATATTATGCAGCAGTTTTTGTGAGTTGGTTTTAAAAACAACAGCAACACTGATGCCATCTGTTTTCACTGTGCACTGATAGAATGACATGCAGAAAATTTTGGGAAAAAAACCTACTTTCTTTAAACTGTCCTTTATGAATATTTCTTAACTCTAACTAGCCCTTGAAAAAGAAGTCCTTTCCTAGGATACATCTGAAACTACCCCCAGATCCTAGAGATGTGTGAAGGTTTGGCAGTATATTGCCCTCTGGGTATGTTAAGTACTTTAAAACTTCCTGGCTGTTTCCTGTAATTAAAGCCTCACTTTCCCTGTTTTGCTCCCTGATTTTCCTGTTTCCACATCATCTAATTTGCTAGGTTGCCACTGTTCCATGACTACCAAACTTTTGCCGCCCTGTCTCTACCACCCAGTAATCGGAAGCCAAGTTCATTTTGGCTTCATTTGGAGTAGGACAATGGAAATATATTGGTAGACAAAGACACTAAAGAACAACCCAAAAGGTATGTGTGTAAAATCACATGATTTTCATGGAAAGTGACAAAAGGCAAACTCTTTTTCCAGCCTTCTGCTTTACATTGGTAGAAGGAGTAGTGAATGTGACTTAACTGTGAATCTCATGCAAAATTCAGTGACAGAACAACAATACGCCAAACAAAAACTTAGCAAAGAGCACATGTAGATAAATTGCATCAACATAATCATTATAATCATTCAGTACTCTAAAAGCTGTGAACTATTCTCCAGCTCAGGAATGCATATTATTAATTTTAAAATCTGCAAATATAAAATGTGATTATTTCTAGAACCAACATATATTCTTTTTCTCTTTTATCATACCAAGGGGACTGATTCCAGATTGCATTCTGCTACAGTAAGCTGTTAAACATGGGGGAGGGGGGGGAGGAGAACAGGACTTCTGATGTTCTCACACTTTGGAAAAGTTCTTAGAAGTGAAATCTTTCAATTATGCACTATGATGATATATAATTTATGCAAGAGATTTAGAGTCTTATAAGAGAATTTAATTGACAACTTCCTCTCGGAGTGCTGTTCAAGTTCTTGACATTAATAGGGATCTCTTTCCAAAGCAAGTGAGAAGTCATTTTTGGAATGCTGGTTAAAATATGTTTGCTACACCCTAGCACATTCATCAAAACTAACAAAGGGTAGTTCAAAGGAATAGACAGATAGGATCACAGCTGTTGGGAGAATAAAGGCAGGGTTAAATTTAATAGAAATGTTTTAGAGTACATGATTAAAGGCTTGCAGCAACATTCATACAAAAATTAAGCTCAGATTGTTAAAAGGCAGAGAAGGGTGTAAATGGCTGCAGTTCAGCTATGAAGGAAGTGAGAAATGGTGTGTGACACAGATCAGAGTTAGACTTAAGCTTCTTCACACCATGTAAAGTTTTGCAGAAAGGAATATGCAGCTTGCATATTCACAAATCGTCTGTAACTGGGAGAACTTAGTTCCAAGAGAAGAACAAGAAGTTCATGGGCAGGGACTTTTCCATGCCCTGATTGTAAATAAAAATGCTTAAACTTTTGGTATAGTAGCAGTACATTCTCAATGTCAAACCTCATTGAAGTCACTGAGTACAGCATAGTAAAATAAAAGTATTTAAAGCAACAACTCCTTAGGGCCAAACTGCATGCATCATTGTAGTAAAAATATGTGAATACTTTTGTTAGAAAGAAAAGGAAGGGAGGACACCTGTATAGACCCTTCCCTTGGCAAGAGGATTCTATTCTTTCCATTTGTGTGCACTTCTGCCTTGAAAACACTAGCTTCATATTGAAATGTACGCAGGGGTAGTTATTCTGTCTTTGTCAGCTCTTAGAAACTACCTAATATGCTTTGTGCAATACTTTCTATTAATCAATGGAATTTGAATCAACATACTTTTCAGACAAGTGGAAGTGCAATGTCTGAAATTTTGTAAGGCTATTTAAGGTATACCTAGATTTCTGTGAGAACAATGGCTTTCTCTTTGGGTGTGTGCTCCGCACTGCAGAATGTTAACTGAGAAATCTGTATGGAAATTCCTGCTTACAATGAAATGTGGGTACACTTGAATGCTTTGGAGGTTTTTGTCATAAAATCCTGTATAAAATTGCTAGGTGTAAACCAATCTCTTTGTTCTGCATTGCTGAAAGGCCTGATTTACGCACACTTTCTTGTGCTTCAGATTTAGCTCCTTAATATCCAAGTTGGTTATAGTTCAACATTAAAACAAAATGCTATAAATACTGCTCCATCCACTATAATGTAAATAGTGTATCTGAGAGACTTAATTCAATGGTGTACATGCTCTAGTTTTCAGTGCAAATCTGAACTGTTAATCCTGCTGCCACACTATTTGTTTATTTAATTCAGTTTAGGTGCTGCCGCACTGCAAACTGACTCTGGGTGGCTCACAATATAATGAACCTTAAAAACACAATAGAAAATGAAGATTGGGTCCAGCTGCTTTATACAAAATCATAGACAAAATATATCCAACAAGGGGGCCCCATGCATCTCAACCCAAGGGCTGGGAGAACCACCAGATCATACAGAACAACATCAGGATGAGAGCCACATGGATTTCAGGGGGAATCTCATTAAGGGCAGGTGCTTCAAGCACACAGAGAAGGTGTGCTTCCTAAGTCCTTATGTTTGATCAAAGGAACCCAGAACATGCCAACTCTGCCAGCACATACCAGCTGGGCAGAAACCATGAGAGATGGGCAGTCCCTCAAATAACTTGGCCCTATGCCATGTAGGGCTTTATGTGAGATGACCGGCATCTTCAATTGCACTCAGAAAGATACTGGCATCCAGTGCAGCTCACGAAGCAGGGGTGTCACATCAGCATACCAAGGCATGCCCATCACTGCCCATGCTGCTGCATTCTAAATTAATTGAAGCTTCTGGGTGGTTTCCAAGGGCAGCCCCATGTAGAGCACATTGCAGTAGTGGGATCTTGAGGTGACTAGGATGAGAGTGGCTGTCTGAAGCTATGCCGTATCTCTGGAGCAGGCAAGAGAACAATGCTTTGGGCAGCCACATTGATAAAATAGCAAAGAATTTGCTTCGGTATTGCT